GAAGGACAGGATTCGGATTCAAATGCAGAAAACGATGATAAAATCTTACTGATTGGCACAATGGATAAATTGACCTTCCTCAATAGAAGTAAAATGATAATTGCGAAACAGATCATCAATGCTACACCTTCTAAGATGACAACAATAAGCAAAGTTCTTTTTTTCATGCATTCTGCAGCACCATTTCAGCAAGAACAAAAATGCAACATTGATCATTGCAGATGAAAAATATGAAAAGAAAATTGGTTCATAATATCCCTAAACCCTAAATATAACTAAATTTAGTTCAAGATTTGAGACTAGAATCACCTTTTCCACCGGCGCTGACACTATCATTTTTAGTACCAACATCTGGAACAGAAAGCTCCGGCGAATCATTCTTCTCTAGCAAATTTTGATCGAAGAAAATATAAACCTCAAACCTCAGAAAACAACTGGATTGAAAAAACCTCCCCCCTCGCCTCGTGTAAGGCAGTCTCGGCACCGTCGATAACAAACACTGAAAGCAATCCTGACTCGACGCGTACCAAGCGCACCACACCATTCCATAAATCTTCTGATTCTGCGCATCACCGACATCAACCTCCCCCACCGCGAACTTCGTTGAGGTGGTCATCGACGCCTCCCACGCGATATGCACCATGAGCTCCACAACCCGCCGGATGAAATCGACCGGATTCGCCGATTGAATTTCATTAGGAATAATCCCTACAAGAATCTCGAATTCCTGAAACGAAAATTTCCTGTTGCTGTACCGAAGGATGCATAAATCCTGGTACACGGCGGCGGACATGCTCTGTCCGCAGTCATCGCTGGAGGCATTGCTCCGACCACCACCGGGGGCGGCCAGCTTGGAAGAGGAATATAGGAGACATGTTTCGCATGTAGTCCGATCGGCGTCTGGGCGGCACTGGGCGAAGCCAAATGCTCCAATCATGGAGAGATAGGAATAGTAAAGGGGGGATTGTGGCGTGGAGGCAATGGTTTTGGCAAGGATCTGGCGGACTTCAAATTCATAGCTGCTTGAAGACGTGTAGAGATCGCTGGAGCATTTGGTAAAGATGGCCTCCCGCTGTGATGCAGTTTTGGCAGTGAAGAGGAGGAGGAAGAAGAAAAGAAGATGCATGGCGGAGCAGAAGAGAAAAAAACCACAGGAGAGAAAAAAAGGATTCTTGGAGTTCTAAGAAGATTCCCAACAAAAAAATAACAAAATCAGATATCATTAAAAAGAAGCATGAGAGTGACTTCAGAATCAGTCTTCATCATCAGCTGAACAAGTCTTTCAATTGTGTTTTCAATAAAAAAAAATAATTATGTAGGATGGAGTTTTATAAGAAAAAAATTATAATAAAATATCCAATAATAATAATTATTCCGGATGAATTCAAATAATTTAAAAAATTATATTGAAATTAATAAATACCATCATATATAATTATTGAATTTTAATATAAATTTAATTATGTTCAAGTTCATTCTTACATAATTAATGAATGAGAGGAGGGTTGTTTTATGTAGAAAATATTTGTTTTTTTTTTGTAATATATATATTACATTTATTTAATTATAATAAGTGGCTAAGCAAGATGATGAATTTTAGAAATATATTTTATTATAAAAAGAAAAAAATGATTATGATTGTAATAATTATTATAATAAAATGATCAAAAGAATTAGGAAAAAAAATTAAGAATCATTTAATATAAGAAAGTGAGATATAATTTTTAAATATTTTTAACAAAATTATACTTAAAATTCTGAATGGTGCATTTTATATTAATATTTTATAAATGAGCTAGCCTGGAAGCTAACAAGTCGAATCGGGATTGATTCACGCTTAACACATTAGCTCATTAAACTCAGCTCACGAGCAATTTATCAAGTCGAGCCCAAGCTGAGTCATGAGCTATCTTGACTCAAAATTATAAATCTGCAACAACATAGACCTCAAAATTGAAATACAAGAAAGGGTTGCTTGGGATACTTCTTGTTTTTATTTTAAACAATTGAAAAACATAGCTATGTACTCAATTTTAGGATAAAAATTCATTTTCCACTCCAAAATACAGTAATATTTCAAAATACAGTGACTAATCTCCAATCGAACTTCATCTCTTAACACAAAAGAAGAATATTCTGTGTATTTTCTTTATCATATCTTTACATTTATCAATTTTTTAATTAGAGCGACTTATATTTTTTTTAACAAAATTAAATCCTACTCGATAAATTAATGCAAAATACAAATATATTAATATTTCATCTTAATTATGCTATCACATTATATATTATTTAAAATAAATAACCTAATTTAAATAAGTTGATCATCTAAAAAAAAAATTAAAATTAAAATAATAGTTAATATCGTGCTTAATTTTAAGCGTATAATAAATTTTTTTATTTAGACAAATACATTTGTTAGAAATTCATTCAACACTCCATTTGCAATCAGGAACTTTT